GGCCCAGCGTCTCGCACTCCCATCTCCCATCAGAGACCGCCCCGCCCTTTCACTGGGCCAATCGCGACAGGATGGTCCTCAGCAATCTCCCAGCTGGCTGTCACCACGGCGTGGGCCCAGCTGAAAGTCTTGGTGTTTCTTGACACTTGCGGGGCTCCTTGGCCCGGGGGGTGTGCTGCTCCCCACCTGGGCAGTGACTCCAGGGTCACCAAGATTATGTCTTCTCGCCTTCAAGGCCCCTCCGAGCAAACCCCGGGCTCCGTCTCGTCCAGTAGTAGTAGCATACACGTTTCGGGTGTACTGACTGTACAAACCGACAGCTGTGTAGACGGCGAGGCGCAGACCTCGGCAGGGACTCGAGGCCCACGGCTCAGGCAGCCCGGCCAGTGGTGGTGTGCCGGAGAAGCCATCAAGAGGCACGAAGCCAAGTAGGCAAGTTCAATCGGGCCGGGCGCAGGAAATCAACAGCAGAAGCCTCCTGTGCCCACTGGCCCAGGGTCATATCAGGAAAGCCCCGTCTCCACTGTTCGTGCGCGGCAGGGGAGATGCCAGACCTGACTGCCAGGGATCTACCTGCAGTCGCCTCAAAGAGAGGGGCATATACAGGGGTTGCCTGACAAGACGGACAGAGCGCACTTGTGCTGTTGGTGGAGGCAATCCCGCCGCCATTTAGGATTTGAGAGCGACGACAGTTGCCCAAGTACGGAGTCCGTCCTGTTGCTTGATAAATATCCAACCAGCCCTCTCCCCCGAGCCCGTCCGCCAGCACGCGACCTCTCCTTCCCTCGGCCTGATCTCCCCTTTCTTTGTCTGTTTTTCCTCGCTTATACCCCATTCCTTCTCATTGTCGTCGTCCCGCCGGCCATTTACCATAATCGTGCGTGCCTACGTGCGTGTAATTATATCAAACTTGCAACCGGACAGTGGCCCGCCTGCCGTTGTCTCCGTCACATCTATACCGCAAGCCCACAAGCCCACAAGCCCACAAGCCCAGGAGCCCACACCAGCTTTTGTTGCTCCGGTCGCGGTACATGATCCTGTTGTCCACCCGGCCCTGACTCATCGGCACGCCCGCGACGAGACTCGCCCGCGGGAGCTTTCCTGCCCAGCAGACCAGCAGCCATGGCTCCCCGGAAGAAGGAGACGGCCCTGGAGCTGTGCGACAAGGCCACGGTGCTCGGCAACACCATCGCCATCCGGATGCTCGAGTACCTCAGCACGGTCAAGCACCACGTGCAGGGCTTCAGGGAGCTTGCCAGCGAGTTCCTCGAGGTCTGCCGGATCCTCTGGGCCATCGAGACCGGGCTCAACACCAACAAGCACTCGAGCCTCCCGGCCGACATGACCGTGGAGCTCGAAAAGCGCTTCCGCCAGGCCAACGACGACTTTATCGTGCTGAACCAGCTGGTGACCAGGTTCCTCGACAACGACAAGAAGCACGGCTTCGCACGCCTGTCCAAGGGCTTCAAGATGATGTTTGCCGACTCGGACGTGCACAAGATGCGCGCGAGCCTCGAGAAGACGCGGGAGGCGCTGAGGATGTCTGCCCTGGTCTTCCGGTGGTCCCTCGGCGATGCGGACGTCGACTCCACCATTGGCATCGGGTACACCGGCCTGGCCGCGGCCCTCGACAGGCTGAACGGCACAAAGCGGGCCAACTCGTCACACACCGTCCAGCCGGCGGCCACGCCCTCGCAGCAGGCGCTGTCGTCGCCCCAGCCGGCCCCCTCAGAGGTAAGCCGGCCCCGGACCTTCGACACGGGCAACGACCTCCCCCCCGCGCTGCCACCGCTGAACATCATGGACCGGCAGTCGACAACGAGCCACGACTTCATGGGCAACCGCATAACCGGCACGACGGCCGTCGAGGACCTCCCGGACCTCCCGGACCTGCCGGACCTCGGTGGCGGCATGCCGGACCGCGCCCCGTCCAGGTCGGTGAGGGACGGCCCCGGCAGCCTGCGATCCTCCAAGGGGCCGGCCCAGAGCTTGGTAAGGGAACTCCCGCCGTCCGACTTGTCCAGCCCGACGGGAAGCAGCAGCCGTGGTAACAGCACCACCCAGACAGACACCGCGTCCACCCACACGGCCGAGACCGAGACCCTGCTCGAGGACCTCCTGTCCGAGGCCGACCTCAACGACGGCGGCAAGCTCCCGCAGCACGTCACCCGCATCAAGGCAGACCCGGCCACCGTCCCGCGCTGGACGCCCCGGTACAGCACGGGCAGCAACGTCCCGCAGTACAAGGCGGCCCTGGCCCAGGCGGTGCAGAAGAAGAACCACGGCGTCATCGAGCAGCTCCTCGACCGCGGCGTGGCCCCCGACACCCTCTCCGAGATCAACCTCCTCCGCGAGGCCATCATGAACCGGGACCCGGAGTCCGTCCGCCTCCTGCTCCTCTTCGGCGCGGACCCCAACAGCATCGACAAGAACGGCTTCTCGCCCCTCTTCACCGCCACCGAGCTGGGCTACCTCGACGGCGCAAAGATGCTCATCAAGTACGGCGCCGACCCCAACCTCAGCGCCGGCCCGGACGCCGACTCGCCGCTGGCCATGGCCGTGCTCGACAACAAGCTGGAGATGGTCCAGCTGTTCCTCATGTACGGCGGCGACCCCAACCGCGTCATGGCCAACGGCAACACGGTCATGATCCGCGCCATCAACCGCAAGACCCCCAAGCGCGTCGTCGAGCTGATGCTCAACTACGGCAGCGACCCGGACGGCAAGAACGGCGAGGGCACCAGCCCGCTGTACCAGTGCGTCAGCGTCCAGCGCCTCGACCTCGCCATCCTGCTGCTGGACCGCGGCGCGAGTGCCGACCTGCCTGGCCCCAAGCACCTCCTCTGGCCCAGCGCCTACCAGCCCCAGTTCCTCAAGCTGCTGCTGTCGCGCGGCGCCGACTTCCGCAAGGCGCCCGGCATCATGGAGCTGGCCACCAGCATCAACAACATCGAGTCCGTGCGGACCCTCCTCAGCGCCGGCGTCGACCCCAACGCCAAGAAGGACGGCGTCTACACCCCGCTGTGCTCGGCCATCCGCGACAACCGCGGCGACATAGTCACCCTGCTGCTCGCCAGCGGCGCGGACCCGAACCTGCCCGCGAGCGAGTACCCGTGCTTCAAGTGCGTGACCCACCACCGGAGCCACTTCCTGCCGCAGGTCATCGAGGCCGGCGGCGACCCGACCGAGCCCAAGGGCATCATCGAGAAGGCCGTCCAGCACAACAACAAGGACGCCCTCGTGTACCTGCTCGACTTTGGCGTCAACGTCAACACCAAGTCGCCCGAGGGCTACACGCCGCTGACCACCGCCATCCGCGAGGACCGCGCCGACATGGTCGACCTGCTCCTCGCCCGCGGCGCCGACCCGGGCATCCGCGGCCAGGACTGGCCCCTCTGCATGGCCGTGAAGCGGCCCAACATCCTCAAGAAGCTGCTCCCGGCCGTGTCCAACCCCAAGATGTTCAAGGGCGTGGTGGAGATGGCCGTGTGCGCCAACCAGCTCGAGAGCATCAAGCTGCTGCTGTCGGCGGGGTTCTCGGTCGAGGCCAAGAACGGCGGTGTCTTCTCGCCCCTGACCAGCGCCATCCGCGAGGGCCACAAACCCATCGTGCACTACCTCATCGACGAGGCCGGCGCCGACGTCAACGCCCCTGGCGAGCACCTGCCCATCATCAAGTCCATCCGTCGCATGCGCAACAACGACACCGAGATCCTGGAGCTGCTGCTGGCCCGGGGCGCCGACATCAACCTCATGTACCGCGGGTGGAACGCCGTGCTGCAGGCGGTTGAGAATGGCGACGCCCACGTGCTCAAGATCCTGGTGGAGAAGGGCAACGGCATCGACCTGGACCAGCGCGACGAGAACGGACGGACCGTCATGGACATTGTGCAGAGCCATGGCTGGGATGAGGCCGTGACTATCATCAACGGCGGTGGACGGCGGTAGGTGATGTCACGCCATTGTATGTTGGCTCCAGATCCAATCCGCCCTCCGCCCTCCGCCCTCCGCCCTCAAACATCACGCACACCAGCCCCTTGTTCCCGAAAAACCCCCACTCTCACGCCCGCCCTGCTGAACCACACCAACTGATGCGATCTGGCGTCGCCTTGCAACCGGCTCCCATGCTGACCTCGGGCTCTTTCTCACCAGGTTGAGTGTGTTCTCATCGTTGTCGTGGGGTGTAATACTGGGCGAGAATGGCGATTCAACGTCAATGTCCAGGACGTCAATGGACACGATACGAGAGCCAGAAGACGAGCCAGAGCAACTGAGAGCAGCTGAGTGAGGGGGGCGCATCTGTTATCGGTTTCATGACGAGAACGACGACACAGGGGGCCGTCGTCGGGTGATGATGGTCGCTTAGACACCGGGAGGACCAGGTGTCCGATTTCTCTTTGTCGCGGTGAGTAATAATATACCACAAACGTACTGTACGATTCAATGTCAAACACCTAGTGCCTAGTCAGTTTTTTTGTTAAGGCCCTCCAGTCAGCCTCAGCTAGAGTCGCTGGCAGAGGCTTGTATATTGCAAATTTTCATGCCGCGCATGTGCGGTTCACATGTCGCGTCCTCAAGTGCTTTGAATTGTTGATCCCGTGACTCTGATTGAAAAATGCATGCTATTTGCGGTCAACGGGCTCTGCCTGCGGTCGACTCACTTGCAGGCCCTCAGTCTGCCCGGTGGAGTGGCATTGGTCGTTTGCTTCAATGGCCCTTCGTATGAGTGACTTGACTGCACGAGTGTGTTCGTCATGTGTTTCCAACAGCGTCGGAGCAGATCGTGATGGCCCCACTGCCAGGCCCACGACTCCACATCGGCACCACCTGGGCAAGACTGGCGTCCATTGTCGACCCCCTCCCCATCATCTGTCACCCGGATTTCCCGAACGGTCCATTCACGCCTGTCATGCAGATTGCACACCGGGCTCCGGTCTTTTGCCGATACACACGGCAAGAAAACCGTGACTAGATGGGCAGTCACATAGACCTTGTTTTGAGTGCATTAGTGGTAGTCGCATTAAATCTTATGGTAAGTAATAGGTGTTGGCTTGACCTTCGTGACTTGCCAGCGCACATGCATGTGCACGGCACGATCATGAGTTCGCGCCAACAAAACCGCCTTGTCGCATGAGTACGCCGTTTGATCCGGGCCCATCCAAAACAAAGAAGGAGATCATAAGCAACATCTGCCTTCTGAACTCGCCCGCATGACGTCGTCGCCTGAAAACATAGTGATACATGTTTACATATATGCCCTCATATACAATAAAACGCCTGTGCTCATAATGTCTTCCTGTGGAACCCCACTCGCATAATCTTCAATGAAAGCCTCTTCGAACACATTGCTCCGCTATGCTGAATAAAATTAGATATTGACAGGATGATGAAATGAAAAGACAGCGAGGGGTGTTGTTGCTGCTGCAGGGAGCTCTGGTCAAGAGACTCAGCCGTCATCGCCCCATTCCGGAAGCATTCCTACGGCACTGATCCTTGCGGCCTTCTTTCTTGCCCGAGACCGTGGCTCTTCAGGTTGCTGTTCGATTTGGGAATCCTCCTCGTAGTGGCTGGAGGGCGACTCAGGCCTCTCCGGGACGGGCGTGATATTGTGGTGAGGAGCGTCACGTGGGTCTTGACCTGTCTTGTTGTGCGCATACTCAGATGCATGCCTGAAGTGGTTCTTGGTCGATCCGTGGTCTGTTCGCGACTGGCGAGCGGCCCTCGGGTGCATTCGAGAGCCGGCCACAGCTGCAGCCGACGAGGCGCAGCTGTGTGAGGGCTTCGACGTGCTCGCAGTGGCTGTCGAGGAGCTTTCAGGAGGATGGAACCGCTCGATGTTTTCTGCGAGGAAATCGCGCAGCTCGGGGTTGGACTCTTCCAACCCGTGTGCCTCACTCGTTGTGCCGCTGAGATAAAGCAAGACCTGCTCGTGCTTGCCAGCCTTGGCGCCTGAGTTGTGGGGGCGTTTTGAGCTCGGTTTCGTAGAAGGTGGCTTCGGGAACAGCATTGTCGTCGCGTCACTTTGTTGGTCGCTCCGGCCACTGGCGGTGCCAGACGCGTGGAGGCTGGCCGGTGGTGGCTGTAGAGCTTGTGCCTTGACTGTCTTGATGCTGGAAAGCGATTCCTTCTTCAAGGCCTTCCTACCATCTTGCCCGTTGTCCAGCTCAGCATCTATCTGTTCGGCAATCTGGTGGCTCTCACGCATGCGTGCCCGTTTTGCCCTCAGAGCGGCGAGAAGTAGCTCCTCTTGCCGCGTGACAGCCATGAACCGTTCGTCTTCGGAGCTGCCTGTACTGCTGAGGGTCAAGATTGGTCCACCGTGCTCCGGGGCCGCGCCGTGATGGTTCTGAGACGCGTGCTCCATGCCCGACGGGCTCATTGGTGGAGTGGGCTGGCCCACTCGAGGCGACATGCGGGTCCGGGGACTGCTGTGCTTAATTTCCTTGGCAGCAACCACACCGTGGTGACCACCGATTCCTGTCGGAACGGCGCGGGATTGCAGCATGGCAATATGATGTACCTCGGGGGCTTGTCTTGGACCAGCCAGGTGAGCTGAAGAAGGATGGGGTCGCGAGATCTGGCTCGCTATGGACTCAGATGTCGAAGTGGATACCTGGGACAGTCGAGATGGCGATCGAACCAAAGAAGCTGTGGTGGAGCTGGAAGGCGCAGCTCCCGGCTGTGGACTGCCGGGGCTTGTTGCGCTCACGAATGAGCTCACGAGCGAGCTGGTACGTGGATTGATAGGTGGCGGGGTCGTGGTAGTGCTGATCATGTTTTCGGGAATGGCGAGGAATTGCCCCTGGGCATTCATGCTGGGACGAAACTTGCTCTTGGGGTGCTTCCGCACGGGCTCTTGCGAAGAGGTACTTGACGGCCTCCGACCGTCAAGGGGACTAGAGACGCTATCAAGAGAGGTGACGCTGGGTATGGAAAGGGCTGTCCTCGGTGGTTCCGCGTCGTCGTCCTCCGAGTCAGACGAAAGAGACAGCACACTAGTGGTATTAGGATCGAAATCCGTGAAGCTCTGGTCCGTCCTCTTGGAAGCCTTGGACGTCCGGGTGTGTCTGCTAGACACACTGGCGGCATATTCAGCTGGAAGTGAGGCCAAACCCGCATTCGTTGCGGCGACCGGTGGATCCGACATTGCGGTATGGGTATGGTCCTGAGGCAACACACTGTACGCCTGGCGTGTGACGGCAGACAAGGATGGTGAGACGTGGTGCCGGGGCTTGTTGTTGAGGGGTGGTGGCGCTATGGATACACTCTGTCGAACAGTGGGCCGCGAGGCAGAAGGTGGTGCTGGCTCGGCAGCGCTGGCACTCTGCCCCGAAGACGGCTGTCCGATATCGCCACCCGGCGTGTCGCGGAATGAAGTGTCTTCGTAGTGCTGGTACAGATTATACAGGGTGCCCGTGTCGGTTGCCCGCTTGCGCAGATTTGCGTTCTTGATTTCGGGGCCTGATACACTGGCGCGCTCCGGCCTTGGGCCTCTCAGGCTGCGTAGGCTCTCCTTGGTAAGCTTCCTGCGCAAGCCCTTTTCGGGCTTTGGTTCGCATTCGGATGGGGACGAGACCGGAGAGGACGAGGACATGAAGGATGGCGATCGTGTCATCAGGTCGGGCCCCAGTACCATGCTGCTACCCCTCTGAGTCAGTCTCGTGAAAGCCTTCCTGGACGATGCCCCTGCGTTGGGCAAGAGATGTGTTAGATCCAACCTGTTTGGCTTTTTCCGCTCAGGTTTCGGGGGCGCGGGCGCGGGCCGGGGAGAGTCCATGTCCAGGAGCTCCCACGCCTTGTCCGGCAGACCCTTGGCTATTGCCGAGTTGGCCGTCTGCTGAGATATCGACAGGGGTAGCTTCGTCTTGTCGTAGTAGGAGATGATGGTGGAGCTTGACCGGCGGCGCCTCAGACTCGAAGCATCGGTGGTGGTGTCTGGGTTGTGGCTGCGGGCAGCGTTGCTGTCGCCAACCCCCAGGCCCCTTGGTATTATGTCTGACTCTTGCTCCCAAGTCAGCCTCGCGTTGGTCCTGGCGGGGGCAGCCGTTGGGCTCTCCTTGACGGTGCTCAGTGGTGAGCGGGATCTCGAGATGCTGCCCGAGGCCGTGGTCTCCGAGATGGTCACACTGATGCCGCTGACGCCCGAGACGGCAGAGTGTGTCTCCCAGAGCCTGGACTGGTCGCTGGTGCTGGATATGGGCGAGGCCGTGTCGATGTTGATCTCGGCGGCCCCGAGAAGCTTGCTGGCCTTGTTGGTCATGGGTGCGGATATGCTCTGCACCTCGTGCGTCTTCTCCTTTGGCCGCCGATGCGGAATTGGGAACTTGAACTTGGTGGTACCGCCCATTGTGAATGACGGCTGCCGGGAAGCCCGGTCGCCCCGTCCCAGCCTGCCTCCCAAGGGTCCCTCCGAGTGCTGCTCTCGTACCTGGCGTGATGTCTCGGTGCGCCCACGGCTGTGGCACCGACGGGGGAAGGGCGGTTTGTGGCAAGGTCCGACAGAAAAGAGCAGAGTTCCTGCCCCGGATCCATCTGAGGACTGCGAGCCCAGGACACACACACACAACTTCCCCGAGACTCAAGAAAGATGGGGCCGAGACCCAAGAAGAGGGCAGAACAGAACAAGAGAAGGGGTCAGGACGGGAGGAGGGTCGAGGAAGCTGGGAATAGATGGGTAGGTATATTAAGGGTGAGGATACCGCTGTCATTAAGGCATGCGTGGAGGTGGGTCCAGGCCCTGGACTGGCGAGTGGCACGTGGGGTGCGATCGCCAGCAGCAGTGGCGGCGACGGCGAGGGTTCAATTGTGGCCCGGGCGACCCAGGCGGGCGGGCGGGAGATTTGCGATGGATGGATAGTGAGTGCTGATGGCGATGGCGATGGCGATGGCGATGGCAGTCGGGGAGCAAAGCTGACACGGACAAGAGGGAACGGGGCGGCGAGGGCACAGGTGCCAGAGTAGTATTCCGCAAAAGATTGCTTGCCAATTAATCTAAGAGTTTGACTCTGGGTATCGGTAGGGAAGGGAGCGGGTGCAGGGATTTTGTTGCCGTTAGTTGGAGCAGAAGCAAGCAGGCAATGCTCGTGTGGTCGCGGGCGACATGTCTCCCCGGCCCTGCTGGCAGGCTGGCAGGCTGGCAGGCTAGCAGGCTGGAAGGGCGAGAAAATCAAAATGAGCGGACCAGGCACGTCAGTTGTGACGGTTCGCATAAGATTTGGTTATGACAGGTCGCGCGGGGGTTTGTGCTGAAGGCAGAACTGGTCGAGACTGAGAAGCGACGGCAATCACCTCGTGCCTCGCTCAATCAAGCCTCCACCAGGGCCTGCAAACGGGTGCGGGCTGCCCTGGCTGCCCTGGCTGCCCAGGGTAGCGTGTCACCCAGGCGGCGTGGTGGATACCGCAGAATGTAACAACCATGCACATAGCGGTAGCGTGTGGTGGAGATCCACTGCCGGCGTGGTGTTAAATTACGCTCACGAGGGATAGGAGGGATGCGAGGGCTGTGAGCGGGAGGAGACGCAAAAGTGGCAAGACCCGGGGAATAATCCAGGGTGCAAATTACGACCTGGCCTCTTTCGGACAAGAACAGAAATAGTCAGAATCTTGATTGAACACGGCAGGCAGGCAGGCAGAGAGGCAGGCAGGGAGGCAGGGAGACAGGGAGGCAGGCAGGAGGGCAAGGAGATGCATCCCAACACCAAACAAACACTCACTCTCTTGTCGTGCCGTGCCGTGTCGTGTCGTGTCGTGTCGTACCCTGACTTCGTCTCGTCGTCCTCTCGTCTCGTGAGGGGCCTAGGAGGAGGGTGCCAAGTGCCAAGCTCCAAGTGCCAGGTGCCAGGTGCCAGATGCCAGATACCAGATGCCAGATGCCCATTCTACACAGAAGTGGTGATTGCTGCTGGGCAGTGGCAAGGCAGGGTTGTGGAGATGCGAGAGATGCACCTGCAGCTAGCTGACCCCTGCAGTCCTGTTGGCTCCTCCGTCGATTCCAGCATGTACATGTGCGGAGTACCAGAAGTACACTACTTGAGTATATGACCTACTATTGCCTCACCAGGGGCAAGGGCGCCCGCCAGACGTGCCTGGGCTGCAGGTGCCGAAGAGCAAAGTTGCACAGCACTGCACGAGGAACAGGAAAGTGACATTGGCGCAACATGAATTCTTGTGGCCCAGGAGCATTGCGACACAATAGGCAGGCACGCAAAACGTGGATTATTACGGCGGCACAGACGGTGGCACAGACGGTGGCCTCTCCGTCAGTCCGTCCTGCCTCGGTACTGCTGGCATCGGCACCCCATCAGCCACTCAGTCCTGGCCCCCCCCCACACGCGACTCATCCATCAGCCTGCTGTTGGCCAAACACGTGCAGAGCCGCATCGTGTATGCCACGGTGCCGAGTGTTTTGGCGACAATGACAATGACAATGGGCTGACAAGTCCGGGACGCTGCGACGCTACTGCAGTAGTCGAGCAGGACGGAACCAAAGAAAGGCACTCGCAGACATGAAACATGACCCCCGCCTCCGCCAGAACGCCTGCCTCCCCCGCAGTACCAGAGTCAGAGTGCCCTTTGGACCATCTATCTGAAGCGTCTGCTCACGTTTGCACGTTTGGCGCCGGCGGCAGGGCGGCTGGCGGAACCCCGTGCCATTCCATGCCATTCCATCACAGGCTACATACAACATACCTTACACTAGTACGTGCCAGGGAAAAACCCAATCGAGCCGCCAACACGCAGAAGCTCCCGGGCTGCCGGGCTCTCGACCCTGCCCTGCCCTGCGGCCGCGAAAGACGGCGTGTGCCGACTTCTCGGCACACCGCAAATCCTCGCCTTGGCCATCTTGACTCGGCCACACCCCGCCTGCCTTCCTGCTTCCCTGGCTCTTGTCCCATCTGCCGAGGCACGCAGGCAAGCAGGTCAGGACTCAGGAGCCGTGCGTGTGCAACCTCACGTTCACTTCACTTGGTGCTTGGTCAGCTTGTCACAGGGCAGCCAAGTACACGCGTACTGTCCATTACTGCGTCGACTACTACCGAAGCGGCAGAACTTGCTGCTTGCTCGACACGTCGTGACGCCGTCGCCTCAGCATGACAACAACATACATGCCTTGCCTGCCAGTCTCACTCCGCTCGGCCACGCACAGTGCAACCCCCTTCATTTCACATCGTCGCAGGCAGCCTGGCAGCCTGGCAGCCAACGGCCCTGCCTTCTGTGCCCGTGCAGCCGTGCTATCCACCCACCCAGCCAGGCAAGCCAGCCCGCCAGCTCAGCACAGCACAACCACGGCACAATCCAGCACCACTTGACGCTTGTCCAAAAGCCACTCCACAACAAACCAGCATGCACCGTGGTGGGCGAGCCTTGGTCCGCGTACCGGGTTCTATCCTTCCGCCGCCACTGGTGGCATTGCTACCATTGCAGCAGTGCGACGTTAGGGGTAGCAACTGGACCGGGGACCTGAGGCTCGAGAGCCAGTCGAGAAGCCAGGCACCAGGCACCCAGGGCACCTCCGCCCGCCTCTTGACAGCTCTGAGGGAGATTCCGCCAGCCACCGGCGGCGTAATTCAAGGGTCACACGCTGTGTTAGAGATTACAGCATTACAGTACAGTCCATACTGGCCGTGTGTATTTCAGCATCAAGGGATTTCTTCTCCGCCAGCCGAGTTTCAGACCCTGCGCTCTGCTTGGCACCTTGGCATCCATCTGCTCATTTGTTTATCAAGAAGTCTTACCAGTCAGGAATGTGTGGTCAAGAACCGCGACAGCTTTTACCTTGCTGTGCTTTGATCTCAGGCTGTCATCCGGCCTGTATGAGACCGTCCGTCTGCGCCAGGGGGGGGCAAATTCCGGCTGGGTCCCCGCTGCCTGCTTGTCTTCGGCCCCGAACCAAGCAACTAACCAAGGTTCGGATGGGCCAGATCCAGATCGTCGTCCGTGTTCTAGTCCCGCCCGGTCCTTGCCGTCCCGACCCCGACAGGCTTTTTCGTCGGCTCGCGCTTTATGCCGAACCTGTTTCCATGCTCCTGTGCGGCTAAGGTCCTCTGTTGAGGGGAACCTCCCGTCCAAGACTCAGGATCTTATATACACCTACCGCCGTGAGAAGATGATTGAATGCCACACATGCCTCTCAAGGGCTGACAAGTAAGTCATTCTATTCATAGGCGCACGCGTTTCACCTAGCATTCAAAAGTTCGTATAGGTCAATATTACACTTATACCTAGTTTCACTCCTATACTATAAGTCAGCACACTAGTCCACACACATCCCTACTAATACAGACCTATCTCCTATTTGAATAATTAAAATTAATTTTTTTTTCTTTTTTTTTCATTTTTTTCATTTTTTAATACTTTATTATATATATATTAAAAAATTGCTTTAACTTTATAAAATATTTTATTATATAATAAGTAGTTTCACTTCTATTCCGTATGTGGTTTCACTTCTATTCCGTATGTGGTTTCGCTTCTATTCTGTATATGTGTGGTTTCGCTTCTATTCCGTATACATCCGAGGACATACATGGCGCCTTTATACGGTGGTAAGCACTCAAGACCCAGCGCTTGGAAAGAACACAATGCCGATAACAATAGTTATAATACGATAGGTCTATTCCGTATATGTCTGAGGACATACATATATGGTGCCTTCATGTGGTGTTAGAAGATGTGAATGTGTCTCTAAACGACCTATGAATGGACATTGCGGCGTGCGCCTCTGAATGAATTCGGACTGAGAAATCACCTATTAATGAACAATCACGAATGCTCGTGGCACACACGGGGTTTTTCTCTACCTAGGGTCTCCGAGTCCGCAGATGTGGGTTTAAGTCGACGGGTTGCAAATCAGGATAGACGCGGACCTTTATTCAATGAATGTGCCGGCAGCAGTGCACCCGTCGCCATCCGATACCACGACAACAGTGAGTACAGACTTGTCTCATTCTTCTTCCATCGTGCCAAAGTGGGAGGGAGACTAGCGTGGGCGGTTCCAAAATTGCAGTTGGGCAGACAACTTGTTAGAAGAGGACAGATTGGTATCTGGTATCATATACGGGTCAATACTATACAAGTATCAGGAACGCTTACTAGTTTGGCTGTAGTACCTAAGCGAAGAAACATCACCTCGGGCAACCTCACGCACGTAGGCTCACAATACCTTTGCCCTGGATGGACTCTTATGACTACTGCCCAAATTTTGGGTGTAGTCCTGCACAGGTTTCATGGGAGATGAAGTCTCAAACATGGACCCTCATTCTGGTGCGATGAAGGGAGAGCCCAAGGACGTTTGCAACTTCTCTCGCCATGTCAGACTTTCGTCCCAGGTACCACAAAGCCCTCACACAATCTTGACAGCGGTCTGAATTATCCCTGAGTTCATCAACAGAGGTCTCCGGCAAGATGGTACCGTCAACTCCAGACAGTCCCATGCCTTCGAGGAGGATGACTGCTGCCCGGGAGAAAGTCCTGATTAAGATCATGGTCCACTACCAGGGGCCGAGTCAGTAAGCATTCCAACATCTCGATAGCCATCCCAGCCTGTCAAAAGCGGCTGTGGGCCAATCTGACCCTGATGGTCCGACGCAGCTGCCGCACTTTTGTGTCATGGAGGCATCGAGATTGTACTCACAGGCTCAGTCAATAAGGCACCCTCGCTCACTGCATGGTGGAAGTTGACCAATTCCCCGTAGTCGTCGTGGCGGGGTGTGGAGGCTTTCGCAAGGTCAGAGATCATGCGGACGCTTTCTGACCGTATGTGGCGAGCTTCTCTCGTCTTGGCCCGAGCCCAAGATGCAAACTCGGAGCGCGAGGCTTGCTGGTCCACGCATTCGACCAGATCCGCCAACAAGAGAGTGGCAAGCAACCAGTGCCCGAGCAGGCACACGTACCAGCTCTGGATACGAGCGGAGAGGGACAGGTGGTTGTGAATGCAGTCGGCAAATAGCGGATGGTATAAACGGCCCCAGTGCCGGCAAACCATCAACGAGTCCTCTATGGCGTCTTGTATCGTCTCGTCTTCCACATCGCGGGCAATTAAGGACTGAAGGCGGGTGACTTTTCGATAGAGAAGCACCTTGACAGGCGCAGCGTCTATTAGCTCCTGGGCAATAACATCGTCCGCTAGCGGGAGACGCAGCCCAGCGACCTTTGTTTGCTGGTCCTTGCTCAGTATAAGGTTCCATTGCTTTGCCGCACTTGCCGAGACAGAGGCAGAGGAATGTGCAAAGGCCACGCTGCCACTGTCTTCGTCTGAAACCGTCAGGGGCCTTTCTGTCATGGCTATTCATGAGTGGTCAGCATGTTTCTTTCTTTCCCCACTTTTCTTTTCTCTCTCTCTCTCTCTGTAGACCAAATTCGCAACCAAGTGGGACTGGTAGTTCTTCCTCACAGCCCGGATATTTCGAAACAGACCATCGCCAAATTGTGTTTTCCCAGTCCCATGGCAACGGCATGGGATGGTGTCTGTGGGCAGGGCAAAGCACAAAATAAAAGCATGTTATGTACAAGGTGGTCTCAATCCAGCTGTTCCACAGGAGGCGACGAGCGAGGGCGGGGAGTGAGATAAAGAGAAATTGGTTACCGGCGCTGATTGTATCGAACATGACTGCCAGCCAGAAGAGAAGATCAATCGTCCTTTTGGACTCGTCATCGCAGCGTCTGTGGCTCTTGTCGTCCTTGGCTTGGATGTTCCTGTCGTGCAGCTCGACACGACGTCGTAAGACATGCAGTCGCCTCGTCGCTCGTTCCAGCCAGATTTGTTGACTGTCCTCGCGCAGGATTTCCTCGACAGCTTCCGAGGCGTCAAAATCTCGGGCGGAACCAGCATGATCTGGTCGTTGTGCAAGATTGTCGGTGTACTTCTGCGTCAGGCCGAATATGATCTCGGCGAAGACCACCCTGAAGGAGTCGATGTCGCTGCAATCATCGAGGGCCCTGCGGGCCTGGTTCCAAAATGACTTTTGCAAGGTGCGGTCGAATTCTTCCTCCAGGTCGGGCTCGGGCGGGCGGAACATGTGCGACAGGTCCAGGCTGTCGCCGGCAGACCATCTTGCTCTGCTCCTCTCACTCGACTGTGCCCACTGCGCGGTAAAAGCCATGACGGCCGAGTTCAGCGCGTGCGACACCTTCCTCTCCTCGGCCGGGCTCAGTTTCTTTATCCCAAGCAAGCTTGCCATGCGGTCGAGCCTCATGACGCGTCGATATACGCGGTTAGACCAGTCCGGGCCCCAGTCGGGTGGCATGTTCTGGAAAGGGGCAAACTGGTGACTGTCACTGCTGGTAGAGCTGGGGGTTGAGGGCAGGGACTTGTAGGGGCAGGTATGCTCCACCAGCCAACAGGACAAGGCGCCCTCCATGACGTCGTGGTAGATCTTCATCATGGTCTCCCCGATCATGAAGCTGTTGGTAGTCGAAGACAGGCGGCTGCCCGACATCAAATCCCACGGGGGGGTGGAGGTGGGCAGGTGGATGACTGCGCGGCCTGTGCTCGTCCTGCGCCTCTTGCGGACATGATGGAGGTCATCGGAAGAGGTGGGACTGCTGACGGCCATGGAGGCTGGGCTGGACCAGACGTCTGGACCGAAGGAACCGAGAGCCTCGGGAGCAGTGTGCAAGGCATCAGGCTGGGGCGGCGGGGCGGCGGAGAACGAACCGAGGCCGTAATCGGTGAGGTGGCTGTTGTCGGGCATGAAATGAGGCTGTATATGCTGGCCATTGTCCCTCACGTCCAGAGGCAGAAACGAAGGGGTTAGCGAGGCGTCCCGGAAGACTGCAGCGGGCTGAAACCTGTCGGTGGCGGGGACTGGGTACGGGCAGCCCTCAAGGCCAAGCTGGTCCTGGGCAAGAGTGCTGTTGTCTGGGCGGGGGGCGTAAGATGCATCGAATGTCAATACCTGGGGTGAGGGATGGAGAGGGCGCAAGGGGATGGCCGACGGGGCAGCGGCGGGGGCGGCGGCGGGCCCTGGCCCTGGCCCTGGCGGCTTGTTTGCCGAGGGCGTCGTGGTCGACACATCCGAGGCAAGCTGCTGCTGCTGGTGGTGGTGTGGGTGTTGCTGTTGTTGTTGTTGCTGTTGTTGCTGCTGCTGCTGCTGCTTCTCCTTTCGGTTGATCTGCTGGCTGTGGACCCACTCGAAGGTGCAGTGCTTGTTTGTCCTGACGCAGTTTGTACACGGGCCCAGCAGGTCAGCCTGGTCATCTGTGCCTGGAGTGGTGTTAGTTGGGTCTGAGATTGAGACGGATGGATGTGTGGATGTGTTGCTGTGGCCGTTGTCGGGCGGCGAGTGTCGCTGCTGGGTCAAAGAATACCTCCATGACTCGATATGGCTGGGTTGCCCGGGGCCTGCGGGGGCTTTGTAGCCGTGTTGGGCGCATCGAGCGCCCGCTGGTCGCGTAGCCAGACGGCGTCACAGGCTCTTTTACCCTTCCTACACTGGTCGCAGCTGGAGTTTTGTCGCCGGCTCATGGTTCCTGGGTGTGCCACAAGGCCATGTGCATGTGCATGTGCATGTAGGTGTGTGTGCGCGCGTGGGTGTGTGTGCAGCATGTGCAGAGAGAGAGAGAGTGTGTGTGCAGTGGGTGTCTCTCTCTCTCCAGCCAGCGGTTGGGAGGTGGCTCAGGTCTCGAAAGAGGCAGGGCGAGGCGGCACGAGCCCCGACGCACGTCGGGTCGGATCTAGCCCAAGCAGACACTTCGGCCGGGATGGGAACGCTTTCGCTGACGGGCACATGACTTCGCACTCTGCCTTGGACAGATGCAGACAAGCATGGCCCCTGGTTCTCAACCCTTCGAAGAGGGTCGCCCCCGCATCCACCTCTCTTTTTGGCTCGAGCCAGCCGGGTCCCGACGGCGTCACATCTCACAAAATTCAACTGCACTGCACCCGATCCGATCGATCCATATATGCGTCTATCAGCCAGTGTCGATATTGATCTGCTCTCAACCCCGTCAGCAGACACCACAGCCTGCCTCGAGCGCTCCCGCCTGCTCCCGCCTGCTCCCCGCCGGACTCCCGCCGGGCTTGGCGCTGCCCAACTGTTTGAATTCTAATACAGACAGACACACTCTCACGGTCAGCTTTATTTTAACTTTCCCAAACTAACTTAGACCTCATACTAGAGCTAACTAGTTATTACTTAGTAGGTTTATTTCTAATCTAGTTATATATATAAAATAAAACTTAATATATTATTTTACTTCTATTTTATATATATTTAAAAATGTTTATAATATTTATATATAATAATAAATCTTTAAAAATATTTAATTATATTAAATAGTTTTTTATATATTTTTATAAAATTTATTATTTATTTTATTTTTAAAAATTAAAGTTTTATCTTTATAATAATTCTTTATATAGTTATAATTTTACTTCTATTCTATATGTATTTAAAGATATATATAGCGCCTTTATATAGTGGGAGGAATAATTACACCGGGAATAGTGATGTAGTGGCTAGGCTTATAGTGACCTAGTATGACTAGAGGAGATCAGATTACCTGTCAAGTCGAGCTAGTAAACTAATTGTTTTCCAAAGTGACGGGTGAGACCACCAGCGGCCGCAGACGGCCATTGCATCGTACGTTGCCCTTAGCTACAGAACCACCTCAGCAATTAGTGTCCAATCCTCTTGACTGAAGTTTGTGCTTATCCACAGTGTCCTAGAAGCCCAAGAAAAAACCAGTCAACAGGAGCAGTGTGGCACGATTAGTCATTGTGTGGATATAAAACGGTAAGCCGACTGCATGTCATCAAGATAGCGGTCAGGTGTGCTACAATACCCACTGGGCTGAGTCAACCTTATAAGAAAGAGTGAATGCCCCGGCAGCACTTGAGTGAGGGTTGTGTGCTTTCGCCCTTGGGACTCTGTATAAATCCAATCATGTCGGCCGACAAGATGGCGGAGCCAGCACCAGACCTGCATCTCAAGCCTTCATCAGCTATCGTTGGTGTCCGCAGTGCGTCTTCTCCTGTGGCTGTGATATCTTGCAGATAGCCAGTCCGATGAACCGTCTTTGGCTTCTCCGTCGGCTTTGTACCACAACCACTGACGCATCTGTTTGCAGTCATCAACACCACCTCTTGGATCTCACTCCCAACAAAGCTCTTCTTCGGACCCCATATCAAGGGTTTCGATCAGCTCTCGGTCCCTTCCTATAGCTTCCTGATCGAGCACCCTTCCGGCCGCAAATTGCTTTTCGATTTGGGCGTACGAAAGGACTGGGAAAACCTTTCACCAGTCACCCTTGGCATGATCGAGCAAATTCGCCCAGCCAAGATAGACGCGAAGAAAGGTGTGCGGGAGCAACTAGAAGAACACGGGGTGTCCGGTTCAAGTATTGAGGGAATTATCTGGTCTCACTGGCACTTTGACCACACCGGAGACCCGTCGACCTTTGATGCGCACACGGCCTTGATTGTCGGCCCCGGGTTTAAAGACGCACTCACGCCCGGCTATCCAGCAAATCAGGACTCTGTAATTCTAGAGTCTGACTACTCTGGCAGAGAGCGTAAGTGCCGTCGCTTCTGGGAAATCTACGAACACAGGTCTTCTGATTAGACTAGTTGTGAAAGACCCGTAGTCCTGTAGATGTTGGTGTTGAGGGTTTAATACGTGATGGCTGACATGTGCACAGTCCGGGAGATCCAATTCAAGCCGGGAAATAGGATCGGCCGTTTTGAAGCGTTCGATTACTTTGGCGACGGATCATATTATATTCTCAACGCGCCTGGCCATACTATAGGTCATATTTGCTCTCTGGCCAGAGTGACCAGCAACCAGCACTACATCCTCATGGGAGCAGACACTGCTCATCAAGCGGGCCAATTCAGACCGTCTATCTACCTGCCACTTCCTGACAGAATCTTACCACACCCACTGGACATTCGCTCAGCCACCCCGTGCCCAGGCGCTCTCTTCGAGCATCTCCTCCGGAACGGTGATAAGAGCCCTTTTTTTGATATTGCCAAGGATGGTGTTGCTTTCGATGCCGATGAGGCACAAGAATCCATAGGCAAGCTGCAGGAAGCCGATGCTCATAGCAACATCCTGGTAGTATTGGCTCATGATAAGAGTCTACTTCCTTGGGCCACCTTCTTTCCCGAGTACGCCAATGATTTCATATCAAAGAATTGGGCTGGAAACGGCCGCTGGGCATTTTTGAAAGACCTCGAGGAAGCATTGGAGTGAGTGACAAAGAGCATTGTCTGAGGGTGGGAGGTACAATCAGCTTCTTTGTGTATCGGCATTGTTGCCACAATCGATTGTGACAAGCGAGTTTTAATGTTCTTACTGATGGGGTGCCTGATATTTAAATCATGCTTGCAGTCTGTCCTGACTAGTACCTCAATTAATTATATCGCATCTTCTTCTGAATCCCAACTCTTCAGGTCACATTTTGTTCGAGCAAGAACTTTGCCAACTTTAGAAGGTTCTGGTTTCGGCGCCCACACCGCTTTTGCTTTCTCTGATCTGGCCCAAAGAAAGATGCCGTCGAATCAATGTTGTACCGAAGAGGAAAAGATAGCGAAAACGTTTGTCACACAAACTCCCCAGGAGCAACGATCGAAGTCTCGGCTATATAACCAGTCGACTGAGGAGTGGCTACAAAAGCTTGGTGATTTGGAAGCTCAGCCCAAAGGCGGCCAGGGGAATGAATCGAAATCCTCGCATGCAGTTCAAACGAGTCACAAGCAGCTCTCAGCCCGCCTGCAGGAAAATATTGATCATGAAGACTTATTGGATTTATTGGAACGTGGAGGGCTTTAGGGTAAGTATGGAAAGCGAGCAGTGAGCTAGTGATGTCAAACTATATCTGCGTGTCACTCCACCATGCTACTACAAAAATAGTTCAGCTAGGGAATATACTTTTAGTAAGTAGTAATAGATAAGTCAGCCACTCTATATCCGGTCCACCTCCTGTTTAATCTACTCTCCGCACTTAAAATACAATTTTAACTTAGGTTTAAAAATCAGACTGGAAAAACATCGATTGTTAAACTATACCACACGGTGTTATTATCTTCTAAGGGCCTAAGCATTCTCAATAGTCTTAATAGCTTCTACCCCACATCTCAACACCCCACACCACAATAGAACACAACTCGCACTATACTATTAGCTACAGCGGGTCCCCCACTAAAAAGTAAGATATTAGTGGATTAATCAAAAAGATGCGACGCCGGCATGATTCGAACATGCGCCTCCGAAGAGAATAGATAACCAGAACTTCTTCAGTAATTCTAGTCTATCGCATTAGACCACTCTGCCACGGCGCCCAAGTTGATGAATAATCAGTCTGGCAAGGTGGATTATATTAGAAACAGCAAAAGTAAAAATAATATATTTTAAAGAGCTGTGAAAGCACTCCGTAGTGCAGAGTAGGCATTATTGCAAAACTCTCTAGCTGCAGGTAGCTCACCAGCCCAATGACCAAAAGGATGTCCGACGCCCTTGTATACCTTTAGGTCGCTAGGGGTTCCTGCAGCCAGAAGTTTGTTGTGGAATAGGCGGCCCTCCTCCACCAGCGGATCAATCTCGGCAGAATGTATACTGGCGGGGGCCAGGCGTGACAAGTCAGCCGCCACCATCGGTGATGCCCGGAAGTCGTTGGCCTTTTCGACCCTCTGTTCCCCCCGTCCTAGCCAGAGGTTATAGAACCACCGCAGGCGATGGAGAGGCAAGCATGGGGCATGCTCCAGGCTCACGTAGCTCTCATACGGGACAGTGTCGGGGTCACATGGGCCATCCTCTGGCACGAACCTCGCGTCTAGGACCGGGACAACGAGTAGCTGGAGTTTCAGTGACGGGAGATCCACATTGTCTCTGGCCAAGAGAGCCAACGCAGCCGCGATGCATCCTCCTGCAGAGTAGCCCCCAATGGCCAGGCGAGAGGTATCAATGCCGAGCGTGTCGCCGTTCTCGATCACCCACCTGAGCGCATCAAAACTGTCCAGCACAGGAGTGGGATGCGGATACTCGGGGGACATTCTGTATTCGACGTTTACTGCAACACATCCGACCTGTTGAGCAACATTCTTGCAGAAGACTTCATCCGTGAGAAGGCTGCCTATAACACTAATTGTGATAGATGTTAGTCCTCCTACGGATCCTAAAGTGTTGCATTCCAGAACGTTCCAAAACATGGAGGACAGCGATCTGTGACAGGTGAAAAGTGATTCTTACAAGCCGCCACCATGGAAATCTACACTTTTTTTTACGTTAGTCTTGCTACCGACATTCAAGTTGCACTCTGAAACATAAAAGGTGGGGATCTGTGACAGGAAAAGAAAAAAGATACTCACTACACAGGAAGTCTTCCGTTTCTGCCCAGGCCACCTTTGGCAACTGCATCGTCTGTCGGCCTGATAACTTGTACGGAGATCTCGCCAGGTGGTTCCGTCACCGAGACCTGGTGTACCGTGTTACTACCGACGTCGGGGCACGGGCCCTCGACCTCGTGGACTGGGAAAGTGTATTTTGCTCGGTCCTTGTTGTATTCCTCATACGGTACCTGGTCGGCGCGCAGTCTTGGTGCTGTCAATGGTTAGCTGGCTTGTAACCCTGGCGTCTGGTATTCATGGGATATCGAGGCTACTTAGGTACCCTGGAACAGGTTGTAGATTCTCGCAAAGTCAGGATCGATCTTGTCGACCAGAGACGGATGGAGAGGGTTGACGACGTTGTCTGATGCAGCGGCCATTTTGATGGTCATCTTTCCTGTGGAACATAAACTGAAAACGGTTCGGCGTTCCAGTTGTGCCTGAACTTGCGTCGTCTATCTGGTAATCATGCAGCCGGCATCGGCGGCTTGGTAGCTAGCTGCCCGGGCGCTCGCGCGACTCTTTCGGGAACTTGTGGTGCCGGGAAGGAGCAATTGGGTTAGGGGGGTGTTTTTAAGGAGGCTAATTCTTAGCGACTAGTATAGGGACTTTCTCTCCCCTAATATATTAATATAATCTACTAGTTAGGCTAGTTTAAACCTTCTATTCCTACTTTTAAACTCCTTATATAGTTATACTTTAACTTATATAAAAATATAATATATAATAATTAATATTAAAACTTAATAATATTTATTTTTAATAATAAATTATAATATATAAATATTTTAAAGTTTTTTATTAATAATTTATACTTTTTATATTATATAAAAAATTATAATATTTAATTAATTTATATATAAATTAATATAAACTTTAATTATTTAATTATATTAATATATAAAATATAAATCTTTAATTTATATTATATTTTATAATTATTTAATATTTCTTTTAATATAAAATTAAAACTTTATAATTATAATTTTTAATTAATTTTTAATTAATTAATTAAATTATTAATAATTATTCTTTTATTTATAAATTATTAAAATTATAAATTTAAATAATATATTTAATAATAAAGTATATTTATTTTATTTAAGAGTTATATTTTAATTTAATAAATTAAAATATAATAAATTTAATAATTACTTTTAAATAATTTATTTCATAAATATTTATTTAAATAAAGTTAAAACTTTTATTATAAAAATAATTTTAATTTTAATTATTTTAATTAATTTATATTTAAAAGTTTAAATTATATAATATTTATTAATATTAAATTAATTTATAATTTATAATAACTTTAATTAAATTAAATTTTAAAATATATTATATTTTATTTTTAAACTTTAATTATTTATTTTAATTTAATAATAAAATTAAAAGAATATAAATAATTTATAATTATATAATATAATATAAATTTTTTATTTAAAATATAATTATAACTTTATTTAAAATAATATATATATAAAGTTTATAAATAATCTTTATTAATTAAATTTAAATTTTAAATATAATTAATTTAAAGTTTTAATTAATAAAGTTTTTAATATTAATTATATAATTAAATTATTACTTTATTTTTATCTATATACTTTTATATAATATAAATTAAAATTATATAATAAATATTTATTAAATTTTATTTTTAATAAATTAAAAGTATTAAAAATATATTATATTTTATTCTTTTAAAATTATAATTTTTACTTTTAATTTAATAATAAAATTAAAAATATATATAATTTATATTAAAAGTATTTTAATTATATATTATATTTAATTAAAATAATTATTATATATAAAATAAATATTTAAATTAATTTTATAATTATATAAATTAATGTTATAAATTATTAAATATAATATAAAATATTTATTTTTAAACTTTAAAGTAAGTTAATATCCACTTACTTAGTAATTATATCTATTCATCTAGTTCCTGCTAACTACTTATCTAATATTAATTTTTCTAAGTAACTCCCTTATATTTATAAGTACCTTTTAAGTCAGCACTAAAAGACTTTATAGTATAATTTCCTTCTCTAATTTCAATACTTTAAGTATAAGCCCCTTTTAGTATGCCTTTTAGTATACCTTTTAGTACCCCTTCTAGGACCTTTTACCTTTACCTTTTAGAACCCTTTACTTTTACCTTTTAGAACCCTTTACCTTTACCTTTTAGGCCTTTTAGGCTATATATATTTAGGTACTAACTAAGTATTTAAATATTAACTAAACATTAAAAGGTTAAAAGTTAAGAAGGTAAAAATAAAAATTATATACTTTCTAACCTTCTAGCCCTCTTTTTAGCCTTTTAATATTTTAGACTTCTAGCCTTTTAGTGTTTAGTTAGTATCTAAATACTTAGTTAGTACCTGAATGTATGTAGTTTAGAAGGCCTAAAAGGTAAAGTTGAAGGGTTTTAAAAGGGGTGCTAAAAGAGGTCTAAAAGAGGTTTATATTAAAAGTATTAAAAATTTAGAGAATTCTAGTTAAGTATATAGTTTTATATAAACTCTATATATAAATTCTTATATTAGGTAAGTAGTTAAAAAAAACTAAGTAAGTGAATATAATTATTAAGTAAGTGGATATTAACTTTTTTAAAGTTATATATAATATTTTTTAATTATTTATAAATTATTTATATTTTTAATTTTATTATTAAATTAGAAATAAATTATTAAAGTTTTAAAATAATAAAATATAATATAATTTTAAAATTAATTTAATTAATTTTATTATATAAAACTTTTATAATACTTTTATAATTATTTATAATATTATTTATTATTAAAAATATATTTTATATTAATATATTTAAATATATTTATTTAAATTTAAATTAATTTTTTTATTATATTAAAAATTAAATTTATTATATAATTTAAATAAATATAAATTAATTAAAATAAATAAAAATAAAATAATTATTTTTTTAAAAGTTTTAATTTTATTTTAATAAATATTTATTTAAGTATTTAAAATAGAAGAATATACTATATATTATTAAAATAATTACTTAGCTAATAAAATCCTAAAGGATAGGGAAAACTCTAGGATACTTGTACGCTATACCAGGGAATCCCAAAGCATACCTAAGTACCTAGGTATGCAGGTACTCCGCACAAGCCGAGGGCAGAGTAACATCACTACGCCGGAAAGAGATCCGCACCCCAGGCATCCAGGGTGCATGGGCGGTCCTAAAGGTAATCTCATGATCCGCATACGAAGATATTGCCATTGATTCTGTAATGAGGATGGGATTTTGGGGTGCCAGTGAGGCCTAAAGCAAACAGGGGGGAGCCGGGTTGGGGTAGACATATTCCGAGTGAGGCATCCACAGTCCAAAGAACTCCAAACGATGATGCCCGGAAGAGATGCACAAATGAAAGATCCTGGGTGAAATGCTATCAGGGTATGGGGGTATCTTGGGAAATTTCCTGTTGTTTCATGAAATGGTGCGTCTCCTCCGCCTATTGTTCTCTTTTGCCCGCCCAGAAATGCTCGATAATTAGTAGTAGCTAGGAAACACATGGGGTTTTAAAAAAGGTATTCGTTAATAAACACAAGCCCCCCGCTGGATCTGCACCAGCGGGACAGCCCAAGATGCTAGAACTGAAAACGTGAAAGTGTGCATCAGGTTCGATTATAGGCGCCGTTGAGTATCGCCAATCATCCTCGGTCATCATCAACCATTCTTTTCGCCGTGCTGGGAAAAGACATCGTGCCTATCCCAGCCGTCAGGCCAGTAGTCAATGACCATCCCTCGGTCCGTAGCTGTATTGCTCGAACATGGCTCCTTCGCCGTATGGCCCACTGACGGATGGCAGCGACTGCCCGTTCTGCAGCATCGGCGCGTTCATGCGCATTGGCATGCTTGATCCCCAGCTGGTTGACCTCTGCTGCATCGAAGGGAGGGGCCTCGATTGCGAAGAAGGTAGGTACCCTCCACCATAATTTGTAGATGTAGTGTAGTTCAAGTCAGGAGAAGAGCCTGCGTGCGGGTTCATCATATCGACCGGCGGTAGAATTGGAGGCTGCGTCGCGTGGCTACTGCTATACTGAGCCAACGGACTCGTCGCCACGAGGCCTTGAGAAGACGCCACGGTAGCTTGCAGTTGATACCCGGTGGTAGGAGACTGTCGCACTGGGGAGTGGTAGCTCGATCCGGTCGAAGTTGGACTGTTGTGGTAGTGATTCACGTGTGTGTCGAGGCTCAGCATTGGCGAGGCCGAATGGATTCCTTGGTTGTAACCAGTCGGCATGGAGCTCATCGGTGCGATACTCTGGCTGGGAGACGAAGTGACCGCGTGGAAGCCGCCTGGGTAGTGTGACATTGACGACGAAGGAGTCGGATGCGTCGCGAACGAATGCGCTTGCGAAAAACTGCCATGTTTCGAGTAGTTCATTGGCTTCTCGTCTCCAGTTTCAGACCGTACACGTTTTCCGGGCCTGTCCTCGTCTTCGTCACGGGCCCTGCGGCTCATCATGTGCGCGAATGCGTTGTTCTTCTTCTTGGTGCTCATCGCCTTGGATTCCTTGCGCAGACGAAGCCGAACTCCAGCGTCAACCAACAGCCTTGTCATTGACGTCGACTCTGACATGCCCGGAAAATGCCTTCCGCTGTATGTCGTAAAGGGTTCCGAACAAACTGAAGTAAGGTTTTCGACGTCTCCCGTCGTTGTGTTCAGCTTGAAAAGGCAGAATTTCAATCTGTAAGTGCCTTCCTTTTTGATAGAAATATCGTTCAGGCAAAACATCATGTTGTGCACACCTCGGTCATCCTTGACAACGTGTCCGCTGGTGCAGGTATTTCCTGTGAGCGCGTTCAGGTCTGGATCCGGGTCGGATTCAGCGGCGCCTATTAGGAATGTTTGAACGAATAGGTAAGGGGAAGTGATGTAAACCTGCAACGGATCTTGGCTCGGATCCACGTCGAGTTGCAGGACTGGTGGAGGATCGACTGGTTTCCGGTCCTTGTCCTTTGCGTTGGCCGCCTTTGCTCTCTCTGGCTGTTGCTTCATTGTCAACCGGTACGGGGAGCTATGATCCCAGGACGACGACATCGATTGGGGGGCATGAGACACATGAGGCAGGAGGTTTTGGGAAGACCCCCCCAGTGGATACAATGGTCCCCATTGAGGGTTTCCGGCAAAGTCGTACGCAGACATTGCCGCTTCGGGGTTTGCGTACGGCGACAGATGCTTCGCTCGTATGCCGTTCGACTCGGATCGCGTTTCTTCTGTCAGTCGGAATGGTCTTGCTCAAGGCCAATCCTGTATGCGGATCCCGTGTTCAAATAACAGTTGTTAGCTGCGACCAAAAGTTCGCGCTGGTTTGAACTGCCGCAACCCAAGTCAGCAACCAAATTGATCCCCGTCAAGGACATCCACCAAAGACCGAGACAACTCTCTAGGACTGTGACTAGTAGAAGGTAGTAGGAATTCCCTGGGAGTGGAACTCATTCGCAAGCTTCGAATGCTCAGTCCTTATAGCGCCGGCTTCTGAACAGCACCACAAATTGCAAAAGGCCAACCACCAGACAGAGACGGCCATCCACAGCACATGGATAAAAGAAACACGGACTAACCTTGTCAAAAAAAAAAAAAAAAAAGAAAGGCTCGTCAGATGTAAATGAGGAGCCTCCGGCTTGTTGTCCTGGACCTGCGGGAGCACGTGTTGGTTGAGGAACCGCAGAGAGATGCGCGCACCCCGGCACACGATCACCTGGAGTTCAAGAAACGATCACGTCCCGTGGTATGGAATGGACGTCAAGATTAAACCGTTGTCGGATATTTCTGGAAAGCTGGACTGGATCGCTCGGAACTTGCTGTGCACTTGCTGTGGCAATCAACAACTTGTCTCTGTCGTCGAGAGTGCGGGTCGTGCTGTTGCGGGAGGTGCGGAAACTTTGAGATGGCAAGGTCCATCCAAGAAAAGACCGAAAAAGATGCGAGAGCAAAGAGCAGGTTGTCTGCCACGAAGATAGTCGAAAGGTTTCGAACTGTCTTTGGGGTGGTCACCGGGAGCCAAATCTCAAAGGAGGAGTGGGCCTTCCTCAAGGACAACACTGCGATGATTCTAATGACAGGCGCAATGAAACTTTGACGAAAGGTAATTCGTGACACGGGCGAGTGCAGTGTCACTACAGGATCTCGATAATCTTCAAATACCGGCGTATATAGTATCCACAGTTGATTCGGGAAATGACCGCAGTTGCAACGAGCAAATTTCGATCCAAATTGGCGGTGCCGGTCGGGATGGGTTCGGCAGCGTAGGTGGATGGACAGATCTACCCAGAGATCGTGATACAGAAGTGGAGAGGGTAGTGCTCGTAGATATGTTAGATCTGCTCCGAACGACGGTTGACGTGGACAGGGCGAGTCCCGACAGTGCAGGGTTGGTGTACCCAAGTACTGAGACTGCAAGGGGATGGGTGTCTGCCCGGGCTAGTGCGCGAAGAGATCGAATTTTCTCCGAGCTGGGGTTGGATCGCGAGGTGTGCTTCGCTTGGGAACCAGCGGGGATGGATGGTAATGCGAGATCAGGCCGCCTCGACGCTATAACCTCTGGCAGATGCCAGGACTCGAGCAGCGGAACGAGACCCAAACTTGCTGAGATTCAGAAGGGGCTACCCACTGACCAGAGGGTTCCAAGCTCAAATTGTGCAGCGGTACCTTGCGTAAGGGCCAATGGCTGAGTGGTGGCAGGATGGCGCGGAACAGTACGTGCTCTGAATAAGCCCCAGACCTTGCAGCACCTCGATACCGAGGTGTAGTGCTATTTCAGTCAAGCTGACCGCTGCTTCCCGGTCGTTCCAGGCGAGCCTATGGGCTGGGCTGCTCAAGGCAAGCGTGGGCCCAAGACGTCGGAGTCTACTCTCCTGAGCAAGACAAAAGAGCTTGCGTGAGTCGCAGTTGGTGAGAGATGTGATGGGGCCTGATGCTGGCCAAATGTGACCTGACTGGCTCACACACGGGTCTCAGTGGGTCTAGGGGAGTCTGATACGCCACAAACTCGAGAACGATGGTTCACAAATGCAGTGGTTAAGAGGGTATCCGTCCGTATGGGAGTATGTCTCCCGGCGCGGCCGTGCAGCAACGGACACAGCCCCGTGTAGGCAGGTTGGGTGTCACTGATATCTTGTCGCCCAACCTCGATATGGCCGACGGAGGTGCGAGAACAATAGAGAAAAAAAGATTGACAGTCTTGATGTGTGGTAGGTCCTTGATGGTCGAACGAGAAGAGATCGTGGCCGGCCGGGGAGGTCTGGCCAGGTCTTGCGGAAAGGTCAGGGCCGGGTCAGGGTCGCCTCCGGCTCGGAGTGGTGTTGACGGTGAGCTTGTGAGTGTGGTGTCGGTTATGCTCCAACAGATCGGCGGACCAAAGCGTAAAAGGCTGATATCACCTGGAGCGGACAAATCGTATGGCTCTGTGGCTGGTGGTTGCCGGGTGTGAGGGAGAAGGAAAGGGCCCAGGGAGATTTAAAAGAAGGGTGTTATAGGACGGTCAGCATGATATCTGGCGTGGCATTGACAGGTGACATGAGTCTCTGGGCCGGTCTGAGATGGCGGCGTAGTGTGGTACTCGTCGTGATGGTGATATAGATAGAAGTGATGGAAGTCTTGGAGCAGGCGAGGTCGTCGGAAGGGACAGTATTTAGTCATGCAGGGGAGCTTCGATATGATCGTCAACGAAGATCGTTCGGGGCCAGGCCCTGAATTGCACGGCCGACGATGTCCTGCTCTCGCACCAGGAGGTACATGGCGCGCCCTCGACGGAGCAGGACAGCAGGGATAAAGGAGTAGTTGCTATAGCTGACAGGGGCGGCGTCTAGGTGGAGACTTGTATTCAAAGCGTTGACACAGGCCCACGTTGTGGGGGGCTGGAGACACATTGACTGCACAGCTTCACCTCCCCCCGGTCCATAGCCTTAATCCATGTTACCCCCGACCCTTGTCCTCGACGAGATGAGCCGTGAGGTTTCAAGCTTCTTGTACGCTCAGTCAGGTACCTCGCCGAGATGGGCCCCTACCCCCCCCCCCCAGATCTGCGGACGAGCCAGCAGTCGGCGTTTCCTGTCTATGTTGTCTGGCTTGGGTGCCCCACTGGGACGACTTTGTTCCGTCAGAGCCCTCACAGCTGCTGAAGCACGACGGGGCGGCACCGTCTCCCATCATGAGACGGCTCCTCCTCCCGCGCCCGCTCACTTGTGCGGGCGCGCAGAGGGCGCGGCTCGACCCTGGCGGCGCGGAGCTTGTGGGTGCAAAGCTGGCGCGGTGGACAGAGAGTCGTCGAAGCTGGAGGTGAGGCTGCCATCTCCCCTGCAGTGACCCGCGTGGAGCATGCTGGTGCTGGTGTGGGAGCTCCCGTGCTCTTGATGGCCCGCCCGTTTGCGAGGGGTGCCAGGCCGAGCCGGTTCGAACGCCCCGAAGGCAGCGGGAAAGCCTCCCTGTACCCACCGGCGACGCCATCAGCTGCCAACGTGCTGGATTGGCAGTGCCCCATCCTCCAGCCCGGCATGACTGCGAAGGTGAGGAGGGTGAGGAGCTGTGGGCTGGGCTGTACCGAGTAGCGTGCCCACCGTGTGAGCTGGGCGGACATGACGCGTGGGAGACGGCAGGTAGAGGAGCTAGAGCGCTGACAAAAGCAAGGGTGGTGCGCTCGGTGGTGAGACAGGGGACGTCTTCGTCATTTCTGATAAAGATTTGAAAACTACGGGTAAAATGGGGGGGGGGGGTCTCGGGCCAGAAACGACAGGTGTGTCTGGCGATGGGGGTGGTGGTAGCTGGGCGAAGATGTACCACCCCCCGAGGGTGGTTTTGGGCCAAGCTTGGAACCAGGGTTTGGGGTGTTGCGCGTGGATGCCACTCATATTGTGCGGGCAGGCGGGTCGGTACCTGGGAGAGGTGCCAAGTACTCCGTACCCCGTACTCCGTACTACGTGCTCATGTCTCGCTTTGTACCCGGGAGGCTCTGCCCATTCCGGGTCTGGAGGCCGTCATGCATCTCGGTCGCTGATCTCACAACCACTGACCTGGTGTGGGCCTGCTAATAGTAGCACGGCTGAGAAATCACGGTCCGAGACGTTCCTAGACTGACCGAGCAGAAGGGTGCGCCGCCGCCGTGGCCGTCGCTGGAGCCCTTCCTATCCTGGTCATGGCCATGGTGCTATGATAGTGCCCGAGTAGCCCTCGTACCTGGCCCGAGTCTGCCCTCCGCACGTCCCGCATGAATTTCGGGTTTTGGGTGGGTTTCCAAGGTTGTTGTGGGTATGCTCACAGGGCGTTATTCCTGGCCCTTGAGACAAAGACGCCGGGGCTGCCACCCCACCCCCACTGGGTATGGCCAGCCGTTGACTGCCTTTCGTGTGTTTGCTGTTCAATTGCTGGGACATGAACGATGAGAAGGCCTCGAGCCGACTTGTTCCTTCGACCTCTGCTTGTTAGGGGCAAAATCACTCGGAATGGCCACTTTCGTGCGGCACGGCGGAACTGGCATCCGGGCTAATATTAACAGTTGAGGTCTTGGCGTGCCCGGCCCAGCAGCCCCAGGCTGCTTGCTCCAGACGAGAGGGAGGCTCTCGGGAATCTAGGTGGAAGACGTCAGGGTGCCTTGAATGCACGTGTCGACGGTGCCGAGACCAGGACCGCTCAGCCTTGGTGTGTAGGTAGACAGGCTGACAGGGCCGTCTGATATCTGCGCGGCAGAGAGATCAAGAGAGATCAGGAAGAGAGATCAACAAGAGATCAAGAGTATCATCGCGACACGTCTTACCCGGATTAGATCGTGGGGGTTACATCCTTAGCTCCAACGGCGCCGGTACAAGATCGAGGCTAGCTGATGGCGAACGAGGATGGCCCCGACACGCACCCAGCGCCGCCGGGCTGAGGTCAGCAAGCCCATGGGCTGCCCCGACCAATCCCAGCACGCCCTCTCGTCTGGTCTCGTCTGGTCTGGTCTTTCTCTGGCCGTTTTATTCTTTTCTTATTTGGGGGCCTCGTAGCGATTCCGATTTCAGCCCCCGCCCTCGCCCTCGCCATCGCCCTCGCCCTCGCCATCGTCGGCCCCGGCGTCGCAAACCTGCACGCAAGTCTCAGCGTGACGGACCAGAGACATCCCGGGTCTTGCTCAAAGCTAGCGTTTGGCACACGTGCTGCGGTGTACTGTGTTGAGAAATACATGTAGTAGCGCCGCAACCATCACGCGAGACTGACCTCCTCCCACTGCCGACCTGTAGTTCCGAGCTCCAACCCTGGTAGCGCTGGCGGTTGCGTGTCAAGGACAGGCCACGGACCCGCGGCAGGACCGTTACTACCACAGCACTCAAGCCTCCACAAAAGCATTAAAGTTGTGCATCAAGGCGGGGTGTCCAATCGCCCGGGGTAGGCACTTGTGCATCCGGGCCCGCCCCGCCGGCACACAAAGCTCGGATGACTCGTGCTTGTGGGTTGAAGTTCAAAGTTGATGGTGCTGCTTGCTTCAGTCAATACTGGTATTGATGGTCACTCTGCTGCTCGCGCATGGGGCCAGGGGACTCGTCCTCGACCAGACTGGAGCCGGGGGAGACTCGGTCATTACAGTAGCAACAGAGGGAAGAGAGCAGCAGAGACGCTGCTGCAGCGGGCACAGGAGGGGATCGCAGGGGCCCGGGCCCACACCGGACATAAAAGACGAGGGGGGATGGGTTCTGCGGCGATTTTCCCGGATTGCATTGCCGCGGGGGGCGATGCTGGATGGCGACAGTGCCTGTCAATGCCTGTCAGTGCCTGTCCGCGAGCTGTCAAATCTGTCAAAAGATAGATTGCCCTGCAGGATTGATGCAAAAGTGGGGAGGTGGTGCCGTTTTGAGCCGTCTTGAGCTCCTGAGCCTCCTTGAAGGGGGCTCGGGAGGGCCTGTTTCAACCCCTACGGCCCCGTTTCGTCAGGCCGGCGGCCCACGAGGCTGCCAAAAGGGGCTCCACGGCCGAGAGGGACAGGCGGTCTTGTTTCCTGGCCGCCTGCAGGTAATCATAGGTTCCTGAGGCGCGGGATCTTGGTAGGGCAGGAATTATACGAGAGTACGAGAGTACGAGGGACGCAAGGGTCCGGCCCCACGTTCGATATGGCGGGTGGGAACTTGGGCACAGGGCACTGGGCACAGGGCACTGGGCACAGGGCACACTGGGTCATTGTGAGAGGCACGCGCTGCGGAGAGAGGCCTTGTTGGTTGGTCTGCCCCGAGCCCTGGAGAGAAACAGTGCCAAGTATCATGCAGGAAAAAAAAAAGGAAGGCAAACCAAAAAAGCACCAAAAAAAACACAAAAAAAAAAAAAACACCATAAAAAACCCACCGGTATGGCCGCGATTCCTGGCCGTCGTGGCCCGTCTTCCTCAACCGCGGGCTCAGGCCTGGCCGGGATGGCCTGGATGGCCTGGATGGTGGATGGGCGGATGAGGAGAAGGCGAGGGGGAGGGGCACGGGTTCCGCCCACCGGTCAAGAGACTGGTTCGACTTGATCTTGATGGCCCACCTATATGGGCGACGAGTATAGCTCGGTCGCGGGGCCTGCGGTTGGGCGGGCTGGGCAAGGCGCGCTCAGGTTCGGGTGGGGCTGGACAAATCACGAGCAGGTGCCGGCAGCAAACGTGGTCTCGAACGAGTCGAACGAGGACGCAGAGGCGTCGATGGTCGGGAGACGTGACCGCGACATGGCGGGCGAGCCAGCGAGCATGGGGATTGATTGCCACGGGGTGGAGTTTGGAGTTTGATTTGTGTGCCCTGTGCCCTGTGCTCAGTGCTCCAACGGCGCATGAGGTCGGCTTTGCTTGTTCCCTACCTTTTAGCCCGACAGTCCTGGCTGCCTGGCTGGCATCGCTCACCAGCATGCCAGCGACACCAGCAGCGTTGCCAAATCTGTGCCCAGCCCAGCAGCCCAGGAACAAGGATGCCGGGGTACAGGGGGCACATGGATAACCCGCAGTACTGTACTGTGTACTACCAGGCCTGTGGCAGGTAGACCCCTGTACCCCTGCGCTCGTGCCAATGAACAGGAGGAGCACGGCGCACCATGGACCTCCAGACCTCGTGGGCCCAGCTGTCATCTGTGGCCCAGGGAGGCAGGCTGGCAGGCTGGCAGGGAGGGTTGCAACTTGAACTTGCAGGCCCCGCCAGGTCAATGCTAAAAAATGGACCTGCAGGGTGCAGGCCAACATCCCGCCAGACCGTGTGTTGCTACTGTCCTCCGTCCTCCGTACGAGTCCTTACCAGGTGGGGACGCCGTTTGTTTACATACCTGGTAGGTATCTATAATATGCGTGTCACTATGCGTGTTATATATGCCCAGAACACAGGCTTGCGCGTGGTTCTTGTGTACTGTGTAGTATGTGCACAATTTCTGGACAGAGTAGCCAGGCTGCCAGGCTGCCAGGCAGGTGGCAAGTAGTTCCCCAGGGGTTGGCTTGGTTGCACAACTTGCGGCCGGTAAGATGGCGGATGGCAGCCTACTGCAACGCTGAAATAGATTGCGATGCAGGGCAACGCATCGTGATGCAGGCATGGCATGGCATGGCACGGCATGGCATGTGCAGCCTTCCAAGACACCCCTGAGAGGCTGCGAGGGTGATATATGAGCGTTCGGGACCGACTGGTGACTGACTGACTGGCTGGCTGACTGACTGATGACTGACTGTACAATTAGGCCACCCAGGCCACCCCACGAGGCCCAGCCGACAGTACCATTCTGGTCGTTGGACGCTGTCCCTGACACGGTGCTGCAGAGGGGCAGATACTGTACGGCGCTGGAGCCCATGCGAGCAGCAGCAGCTTGTGATATGATAGCACACAGTCCATATACAGACATATCAACCCCTGGTGTCATGATCAACCGGTTTTGAGACCTTCTTGGGTCGGACCAAGCAAATAAAGCCACCGGTTTATCCGAGAAATGTGCGAGTCCAGGTGTCCCCACCCTGCGCCTTATGCTTCACCACACGCGAGTCTTGGCCCTGTCGCGGTCGCTGTCACGTGTCCCCTATGCTGTTGGGATCCGGAGGGGCTGGTGCGAGCATGTTCAAGGTTCTGTCACGGGCCTTGGGCCGTCGGTGGGCAAGATGGCTAGCTCGATTGGAGGGGAAGGATGGGTTGAGGCACGGGCAGGCAGACGGTTGGACGGCAGGACGGCAGGACGGTAGGCGGCACGGCAGACCTCCGACCTGGGCGCGCAGTCGGAGAATTAAGCATCGACCACCTGTCTGTCGGGTCTTGCCGCCCTCCTGACTCTTCCTGTGTGCCCCAGGCCTGCCAGGTCCAAACTCAAATTGCCCTCTGATACCACAGGCAACAAAGAGAACGAACCATTGCAGCGCCCCGGGTGAACTCCAGCCGCGACCCTGTCGGCCTTGTCTGCCCTGTCTGCGGGCAACCCCCAGCGCCCTCAACAACCCCTTCCCTCAATTCCTTGCCCCCCCCCTTCTCGACCTCTGCCCTCCTGCCCCTGCTGCCCTTCTCTTGCAAGGTCTGGGCTGACCCACCTGCCAGGTCAGGGACAAGTGACCAGGGAGCAAAGGGCCAGGGGGCTGAACGGGCAGCACGCAAGGGCAGGGCAGTCACGGCAGGCAGGGGGCAGTACTAGTACTGTCAGACTGTCAGAACTGTGTAGCCCAAGGCAAGGGCGAGGTGCATCCTGCTCAATGCAGACCCCAAGCTCACTTCCTGTTGCGACTAGGGTCTGAGCCAACGCGAGTGCTCTGGTGGTACGGAGTACTACCACGACCCCAGGCCTGCCTGCCTTGCCACTCTCGTGTATCCTGTCATCGATCCATTTCCACCATCAGCCATCATCATAACACACATGCCCCTAATCATAATAACAAATCATTTGTTCCCCAGCCTGGCTCCCTCCCCCCCGGCCCCTTTCTCTCTCTCTCTGTCCCTTTCTTCCGCTTCCGGTGATCCCACACGATCTGACAACTCGACATCGGATGGCATCTGGCTGCGTCTTCTTTGTTCATGCGCGACACCACCACCGTCACTTGTCACTGTCTGACCGCAGAACCCCAAAACCCCTGAACCCCAACAACGGCCACACCTTGCCGGGCGAGCTGTCATTCCCAAAACGATCCCAAACTCCGTGCGGATGGTGCGACGGTTCCGACTGCCGAAGCTTTTTTTTTTTGGAGGGGCTCTTTTTTTTCTATTTGCGACGGTGGTCCCGTCCAAGTTGACTGCCAAAGAGGCCTTCGTGGGTTAGTTGGATGGGGCCGTGTTGCCTGTCAGCTCAGCCCTCTTTCTTAAGCCCTCGAGCCCAGACAGTCGCCGTCGCCGTCGCCGTTGCCGTTGCCGTTGCCGTTGCGCGCGCCCTCCTTCGGTTCTCTGGCGGTGTCGCTCTCTCGCGACAGCCCCCCTTCCCTCCCCCTCCCCCTCCCATGTCTATGTCAATGTTCACTGTCCCCTGCCCCCCTGCCCCCCTGCCCCCCTGCCCCCCTGCCCCCTGCCCCCCTGCCACGCTCTTCTTTCTTCCCTCTTGGCCATGTTCGTTCTTGTTGTTGCCAGGACTTCCCTTGGTGCGTGTTGCATACTCGGTCTCGTACCGCCAACCTACCCACCCTACCAACCTGTCAACAGGCCTCGTCCCTTGTCCACCGTGGCATAATCTGCGATCCGCCGGCCGGCCAGCCACCTGCCTGCCTTGCCGTCCATCCGCCCGCCTCCATCCGAGAGGAGAACCCTTCTCTCTCGCCTGCTGTTTGCCTGATCGGCACTGCCAAACCCTCCGCCGTGCGCCACCCAGCCGCTTCTTCCGGGCCCGGTCCGGTTCGGTGACTGCAATCCAGTGTCCTGGGCAGCCCTGTCCCGACCTTTGTCCCGACCTTGACCCCTAACCTTCTCGGCAGCCGAATCTCTGTCAATGCAGAGCTGTTCCAGGCGGTCCACGGCCCGTCGCTCCTGGCCAGCAGCTTTGGCTTGAACTCAAATCCCAGAGAAGCCCTTGCTCCCTCGTCTGACATCATAGCCCTGCTGGCCCTGCAGCCCACTGCCGGCTGATCACAGCCTTCATGCGTCATGGGGTTGACATCAGACGATCTGACGATTCGTGCCCCAGGGGTTCATGGCCTTGACAGCTGCCCGGATATGCCGCCGCCAGCCTATACGCCCACGACAGAACGAACACCTGTGCCCGCTGGCCGCCTTTGGTCCGCGCCGGCCAAGCGACGCCGCACAAGGCAATGCGATCCACGCCGAGCTATTTCTGCAGCCGCACGGCGCGCTTCCACGCACCGTCTGTCATCTTTCAATGCATGGGTCACAAGCCGCCAGACCAGTTGCTCCCCTCAGTGCTCACTCACCGCAAGCACTACAACGGCCTTGTCAACAAGGTGCTTGCCCGCTGGGCAGATCGGGGGAGGCCCCGTCCGGCTTGTCTGTCCTTGGGCGTTCCGCTCGTCTGTCCCATGCATGGACAAGAAGCGCCAGAGCTTGATCCGTCTCCTTAGCGCTCCGGCGTGATGGCCGCTGTCTCGGATCTGATGCTACGCAGACCCTGCATAAACGTGCTAAACAGGTCAACAAGACATGGCCTCGTGGCACCAGCGTGAGATCGTGCCCGTACGGTATTTGCTGGTGGTGGTGTGTCGTGGTGTGCTTACCTCTTGACGCAACATCCTGCAGTGCAAGGCTGTTGTGGGCACCACTGCCGGTATCTGCGCTCCCGGGTTTCCCGCCCCTCCGCGCGGCTTGTCGCGTCCCCGAGCACCACGGGGTGCCTCTGTCAACAGTTTCCCGGCCACTTGCTGTGGTGCCAGCTATCTCCCATACCACATCGACCGAGCCCGTGATAACATGGCCTTCTCCGCCCCTGCAGGCTGTTTGATCGACATGCTGCTGCTTGTTTCCCTGCTGCTGCTCCGCCTGGGCTGCTGGGATGCCTTCCTGTGTCACACCGCAGCTATGCCATGAACCTTGCTGCCGGATAGAGCACAGGCCGGGGAACGTGGTCACAGGCTAGTCCGTGCTGGGAACACTTGTCAATTGTGTTTCTCCCAGCCTGCCAATCACCTCTGCCCTTGCCTGGCGAGGCTGTCACCGTTTCTTTTTGCATCATCACGGCGCTCGGGTGCAGCCGATCGAGCGCTCGGGGGTGCCAACGGTCTTGTTAGGGCCGCAGCCACGCCCAGGCGACCTGCAGGTGGGCCCTCTGATGACGCTACGATGCTGGCAATCTTTCATCCCGAGTTTGGCGTCCCGATCTGATCTACCCGAAATCTTCTTCCCTTTCGCTGCCTAGGCCATCTGAGACGTGCACCCGGGCTCCCATCACCTTGTACCTCGTTGTCGCCAAGACCCAACGGTGCATTCTGTCCAGTCCCTCCTTGCGAAGCGATCCTCCACTCCCCTCTGCTACCCTGCCCACCGATCATCATCTGGCCCTTTGGACGAGGATGGGACGACATCCTTGTCGAGATCTGACCAGTGGTCCTTTTCGGCGATCTGCCGACTTGACACGGGCCAAATCTCCGTGGTAATATCGGCCACCCTTGATAACTAGCAATGGCCCGGATATGGTCCATTTGTTTTTACCTAGCACTTCCCTTGGTCCACTGTTGGCCGGATGGCCACCGAAGCGAGCAGTTCACTCTTTCTCGGTGGCGCCCTTACTTCTTCTCCGCCCCCTTCCACTCCCATCCGAGAAGAGTTTTGTGCCTTCTGCGCGAGTATCTGCGCCAACATCCCCTACATCCTCTTCGCCCCTCAACCGAACTTCTTGTAGCTTGGCGGTGAACGTCGTCGCGGGCTCGCTCGTCTCAAGATGGTGCGCATGAGATACCCGTGCCTTAGAAAGTCCCGTGCGTCACGACTATACCTACAATGGGCATGGTAGCGGCTGTCAGCGAGGGCAAGTCGCCAACAGTGCGTGGTGATACATGTCCACACAACTCTGTCTAGCCTGTGCCGGGCTAGGACTGCAGTTTAGCCACGACCTAGCCAGAAGCTGTTTCGCCTATAGGGCGAGCTTCTGGAATTTCGCCCGCCCATTTGCTGGCCCAGGCAACCCAGCCAGCCAGCCCGGCCAGTAACCCCCGGTAGATGGAGCCGCCATTTCCTGTTCATTCCCGTCTCACAAGATCTGGCCAGTCAGGTTCCGAACAACCATGCTGTGGATCGCTCATTTCCTCTCTGAGGTTTTGCGCGGTATGCACCCTGGATGTGGCCGAAAAAACCGAGCCGGCATCTGGCTAGGCTATTGCGTAGCATTGGGTACCAAGGATGTGGGGCGTCCACTTGCTGGACCACAAGGCTAGAATCTGGGCATACAAAGGAGTGATAGCGGCCCAGAATGACGGGCATGCAGTAGATAATGGTGCTCCCCGGTAACTTTTAGACTTTCTCAAGAGGCGCCCGCGGCGGCCGCACTCCGGCGGCTTTTCTTGCAAGCAGGGCAGGGTTTCATGAAGCCATTTATATCCCTCGACGAGCCTTGACAGACAGGTCGACAGAGAGGTTGACACCCATGGCTGTCATCGTCGCTATACCACGACCGAGGCTCGTTTCCCTGTCATGCTGGCCCGGTAGGCGGATCTGGCCCTGGGCACGCGAGACAGTTCGTCCGAAACTCTGTCCTTGTATGATCATCATGGGCCGGCTAAGAAGCAATACGATAGTGGCACCCATGTTTCTCCTCCCTGTCTCTTGTTTCTTCTGTCATGTTTCAAGTCTTTACCCAGCAGCGGCATGATGTCTCTACAGCGGGACTGCACTCATTGCTGAAACTTTTGGGCCCAGCAATAGAAATACACTGTGACGGGATAGGTAAGTTTTCCATCAAGAACAATGGCATAGCAGGGTAAATTCTCCTGAGACCTGTTCATGCCGGGGCACTTGTCTGTCGACTTGAAATTCTCGGTTAGCCAAGGCGGCCTTGTCAGCTCTACAAGGGGTATCGTATGCTATGCATGTCGCTTCGTAGATATCCCGATTCCTGGTCCGGTTTAGATACCGAGCTTCCGCAATAGACTTTGCCCAAAGAGAAGGAAAAGCACACACTGGTAGATCTCGGACCGCCCTCGTCGCGGCATGGCCTCTTGCAAGAAGTTGTGGACATTGCTAGCTCATCCGTTGGGCTTCCGTCCTAAAATTTCATGTCCGATCACAAGCACCAACGTCTGAGATTAACAGAGGTTGCGTCGAGATCAGGCACCCGGGACATTCCCCGCTGGAAAAGTTTGGTCAACCAATGCATGATGTACAGCGCTGAGTGGGTACCATTTCTGTGCGACAAAGGTCTGAGTATGGGGATGAATGGGAAGCACTGAATACATCTTCCTGCCCTGCCGACCGTGGGGCGATCAAGACATGTCTGCATACCTTCCCATATAATCGCTTGGGAAATCTCCTATGTGCTCTCGCTTCCTTCCCAAAAACCTGACGCGCCCGCAGGCTTGAACATCTGGTCGGTGCACACAACACCATGATCGTAGCTATCATTGCGGAAAGTCAGGCTTCTGAATCACAGGTTGGACCAACACACCTCTAGGCTTAAATTACTGCCTCCACGGACCAGTAAAAGCCTCAAAGGTTACGTACAGAGTCACTGCTCTGGGCTACCCACACCTGTATGCTAGACTGACATGGTGGTCGCCACTCACACCTTGCTGCACCAAGTCCAATTCCATCCGTTGGAGGAGCTTTTACAGAATGGCTTGTTCTTATTCGACACGATCCCTAATCTTCCGTCGAATGCCTTCAAAGATTTCCCAGCATATTGTTTCTCTTCGTCTCGTGTCTCTTCGAAAGTAACAAATGCCCACAACGCTAGCCAGCACGTGCTCGCCAACGTTACACCTCAATGTGGCAAGTAATTCCTTCAATCCCAGATCTGCCCTGTAAAGATACATCTGTGAGCATCAAGGGGCACAGCCTAGGGTGATAGACAGCCACGGTAGCGACATCGTCGCTGTACATCACCCCCGCCCCTGAACCAAAGTTCCACCACGACCAGACTTCCTCCAACATTGGTGCCCCGCCTGTCGCCCAAAGTCTGGTTCAAGCGGCAGAACAAACCTTGTCTGCCTCCTCGGCCAACCGACATGCCGCCATTGCAGCATTGAACTCGGTGACTCCGTGTTTCTGACTCTGCCTTGTCCCAGCAGCCTGTAGGGCTTGAGGGTGCCCTGCCCAGGCATCATCCGCTGGTGCAGGCGAGTCATTGTGGGCGGCCTGAAATGTATCACGGAGTTTCTTTACTTCTTTCTTCGCGACTTGGAACTATTGACTATATCAGATCATGCTAACATTAGATCTCCTGATCCATAGTTTGGTTGAATCGATCTCCAGCCCTATCAATCACCACGGTACCACGGGACTGCCCTCATTAAGGCTCGCTCGGCAGAGGTAGATTGTGGAAGCATAACATACTGTGTACACGGGTATCTCAAGAGACTACCAAGAAACACACGGGCCGGGAAACGGTGCGCTGTGTTGGGCGGTAGTACCGACTTCGCAGGATTGCGATCCATGTGTGCAGGATTTCACAAAAGTCTACAAAAGGAGAAAACCAACGGACTTGACTCACATGAATCTGCAGGCACATCAAATTTTTGTTTCTTTGATAAAATCTGCAAATCAATTGTAGTGCCCAGCATCTGATCCGCTCGGGCAACATCACTGCCCCAGAGGGCTTTGATATCTGTCGGGATTTGGTGCTCAAGTCAAAGCCCAGGAAGACTGTCACATGGCTAAAGTATGTATTCATGGATTCTCGGAAAAGCCGGGTGCCTAAGAAAAGAGACTTCGGTCTCACTCGCTGCAATTGTTCCCAACATGGCTGCATGTGGTCTCGTGGCGCAAATGCCAACGTGCCCAGACTCCGATTGTTTGACGATTGATTAGCTTTGCTTAAGGCCGGTGGCTCTGCGGCCCTCGACTTACAGTCTAGTTGGGGCCTATGCATACCGTGGTCATCGATTAACGACGGGAGCTGAACCGCCTCACAAACCCTTCTGGGAGACCTTGGCCGGCGGATGACGGGGTTGGGAAGATGTTTATAGCGTGATCTGATATGTGATAGTTCGTTGCGGCCCGCGACCGCCTCGACGGTTTGGCTCCCACTCTCAACGCAGCGAGGGTCGTCAACCAAGAACATAACCGGCTGGTATCTGTGGTCTCGGTTGAACCCGAGCCTGACTTCATACCATCTTGGTTCTGGTGGATGGGCCCGAGATTACTCGAGTGTCTTGCAGCTTCGGTCGGGCCATTCTCAAGTCAAGTTTGAAAGCTGGGGGACATCGACTACGGCGACGGTTGGGCGCCGTGCCGATGTGTGACAGGAGCTTGTTTTCAATACCAATACCTCCCCACAAAATGACCGAGAGACGTTTTCAGACTCGGACCCTGAATTAGGTAATAGGCCCTGCTTGGCCCGAGAAACGCCATCTATGTGATGTTGACGTCGCTCGCGATTTCAGCAGTGGAGAAGCCGAGGGCTGCGGAGCCTAGCAAGTGGGCGGATGGACCAGCGCCGTGCTTGCAGCGTGAAGCCATATTTGCATCCTGTCGACAACATCACACCGGGGGTGCGCCAAGGCCCAGCAAGGTTTGAGATACGGAACACACCCTTTTCTTCCCATTCGAGATCGGGCAGCGGCCCCCGGGGGACTGACATCGCAGACTAGGCAGCGTGCAATGGGCAAATCCTGCTTGGGGATCGCCGCCTGGAAGGGGTGCTCCCTGGACCCGTGCATTTCAGCTCCAGGACTAGGCTGGCGCGGAGGGGGTCTGGCTGTAGCAATGCGTGTACCGATGTGACCCGTGGCGGAGATGACGACGGTTTGGGATAGTGGGCGATTTCCCAAATTGGGGTGTACCTGAGGCCGCTCGACCGAAAATGGAATTAGGATTCGGTAGGGTGTCTGCTTCTGATTCGGATTTGATTTGAGCCCACAAAGAGGCCCCATCTTTGTTGTCACGGCCCCGAAGCAGCGTGTGGATCACGGGATTGGGATGGCTGGAATGGCTGGGATGGGTACATATGACTGTCTGGGGCCCCACCGACACGAGGCGGGACTGGCCCGGAAAAGGGCAGATCAGTCGGCTTCCTATCGTACGAGAGTCGCAGGACGGTAGCAGTTTTGGTGGCCCTATATCACAGAAAGGGCTCCCTTGTTATAGACACCAGACCAGCCGCGGGCGGTAGCGAGAAAGCGCGCAATATGTGAGGGAATCCGCCTCTGCCAGCTGCAAAGTGCTGGGTGTGGGTGGCAAGCAGCAAGCAGCAAGCAGCAAGCAGCAAGCAACACTTGGCGCTCACCTCCATTTCATCTCGTGGGGATCTGCTGGCCGCTTAATTGGCCGCTGCTCGGCAATTCCACGATGTCACCGCGGCT